GCTGCAGCTCCCGCAATAGCGAGGAAGCCGCTCGCCGCTGTGCCTTGACAATAGACAAGACAATGTTTCATTCTTCTTTTGCCGCTGCCCACCAATTGTTGCTCCTTTCCATTGTTCCTGGGCTGTTGGCCTGTGCGCAGGCCGGTTTGTTTGCGATGCCTTGTACGAGCTGCAGAATAGGGACCTCCTTGGCAGCCGTCCGAGCAGAGAGTTCCTGGGCGGCTCCAAAAACAAAAAGCAGAGCTTTGTGGAAGTGTTGCTTGTGAGGCGAACCCTGGTCTTGTATCTCTGCAACTTGGCGCCAGAGTCCGAGCGCGACTTGCTGCTGGACAATCTCCTTCTGACCAGCAGCGGCCTGCGTGAAGAGAACGACTTGGTTCTTGCAACGCCAGAGACCGTTCGCCTGGTGGAGTTGGTGAAGCGGGTCCACCATGGCGGGTTTGATGGGACTGTTCGCACTTTCTTGGCCGACTATCCTGGAGATAGCACCGAGGAGTTGGTCAAGCCAAGGACCCGCTTGATGATTGGCGCAAAGCATTGCAGAACAAGGAAGGGCCAGCTTCAACTGAGGCTGTTGTTGGAGAGCCGGTTGAGTTGGGCCTCACACAGGCTGTGCTTGAGAAGAAGGAGGACACGCCTGAGCCTGCTGCAGTGGACGAGCTTGCTTCGCTCACACACGAGTGGCGGGGGACAATCAGGAGCATGTGGCAGATGCAGAACAATCAGGTGAAGAAGAGGCCGACAGGGCCATGGAAAGTGCTTCATGAAGCCCTCGAGGGCACAGCGGCCTTTAAGTTCAAGCCGACGGTGCTGAGTGGAGACACCCGGCGAGCAGCTGCTCCAAGTCACCTTCTTTTGCTCTTGAACTTCAACCAGGCAGCTGGTGTAGATGTGGCTTTGGAAGTGCAGACGCTCTACAAGTGTTTTGCTCAGGTTGCGGACTCTGCCAAGGACAAGACAGAGGTGTTGCAGCCTGGTGTGGTCATGGTTGTTTTTGAGGGCCTTCAGCAGGCTCATGGCACCAAGTTGAAGACTGCACTGGGCAAGCTGGGCGGTAGCTTGGGGCAGCAGAGGCTCCTGACTGTTGGGTACCAGCAGAATCATGTTGAGACTTTGAAGTCAGAGCGCTTGAAAAGTGCCTCGACGGTGGATGTCCTTGAGCCTGTCCACATCTTGACTGGGGGCTCTCTCAAAGTCCCCACGTTGCCGCGGAAGCACTTTGCTGGCACGAACAAAGGCAATTTGATGGCCGAGGTGCCACTCCGGATCCTCAGCTAGATTTCACATCCACAAGGCTCCGATTTTGGTGCAGCTCGCACACCCCCATACTCATCCACAAGGCTCCGTTTTTGGTGCAGCTCGCACACCCCCATATCATAGGACTCTCCGTTTTTGTTGCTTTTGGTCAGGTTTGGGCTCGCTCGGCGAGATGGTTTAATTATACATGTCAGTTTTGTTGGCCTCTTTGCTTGGCTCTGTCAATTTGGTTGCTCAGGGAAGGTGGCTCTACAGATCAGTGCCCGACGCCACACCCCCATCTCATGGAGGAGCGCCCTGGCCCGCGTGTTGGGTTCTAAATTAAAGCGGGGCCTGGCCTGGGTTTCAAATTGGAATCGCATCGTTTGTATCAGTTCTCAGTATTTGAGAATGGGTGCCATCAAGTTGCAGGAGCTCACGAACGGCTTTTTTGCTGGCGCACTGGTGGACATGTACGCTGATGTTCAGCTTGCTCAGCATTGCTTCCGCCATCAAATCAAATACATTGGCTTCTGACCCTTGGTTGAAGGTGGCATCCTGTGTCCCACGGATGTTTAGTTCCCCATTGCCGAATGCATCCAACAATTCTAAGTCTAGACTTGACCGGTGTTCCCCACAAATGCTTTGCCATGTTTAGCTCGCAGCTAGGGCATAGAATGCATTCTAACGATTCTTTGGGCTTGCAAGGCTCAACTGCACCACCCCTTGAATT